ACACAATAAATCATTCACCATGCACCCTCAATTGAATAATAAAGGCAATTTTATTTTTCATTGGTGTTTTATCTTTTTGGGGTACAAAATAAAAAAAAAATTGTTGTTTTCTTGAACCTCCCACCTAATTTCGAGCGGACAAAGTGCGAAAAAATAAAAATTACGCCGGATTATTCTAAAAAAAAAAAACCACTACATTATCTTACGAAAGAAAAATAGAAACAAAATAATCTTTTATCACTAAATTATTCGATTGTGGATCTTTTATGTCACTGTTTGTAAAATATTAGGTGAAAATATTTGGAAGAAAAAATAATTTTCAGATAACTTGATAACGTAATAGCTGAATGATTTTTTTTCGTAAAATATTTTATTTTGATAAAACAATATAATTTTTAAATATGTTGATGGAATGTATTTTTATTTTTGAACTTTATAGTTTCAAAATGATTGATGAATAAAAAAAATATTTGACATTTGGCATCCTAAAAAAATATCACTACAAATATTAAATTTATATTTTTTAGCTTTAAAAAATCATTTGGGGTGCATTATGCATGATTTATTGTATTTCGAGGGTGCAAAGTGCTATTAATTTATTTCGAGGGTGCAAAGTGCCAAAATGGTATATTTCAAGGGTGCAAAGTGGAATTAAGCCATATATATATATATATATATATATATATATATATATATATATATATATATATATATATATATCCAGAGAGAGAGAGAGAGAGAGAGAGAGAGAGAGAGAGGGGTAAAATAAACATAATTATTAATAAAAATAATCTAATGTAAGAAAATTCAAAACCAATTTTAATTAAATATAATAATAATGATAATAATAACAGGGGTTCAGGGCAACGAACACGATTTTTTTAAGGGGTATTTTGAAAAATTAATAATAAATAATTAAGTATTTAAAAACAATATGCAAATCTAAAGCACCTGGAAAGCACAGCAAATGAGCAAAACATGTACAACTGAAAAACTAAACATTTACATTAAATAAAATAAAATGCCAATCGAGTTGACATTTTTAATTCAATGTTCAAAATCTAAAAAGAAAATTGTTTAAAACTAGCTACAGCATAATTAAAACTGTTCAATTAATATTAAAGCTTTCTATAAAAAACTAACCAATTAGATTAATATATCTAACCAATGTCAGCTATACCAAAATGGTGCATGCATTTTTGCACCTTAATCCCCCGAGACTCCTCGTCCAAATCCACATCAGCCATCTAAAATATCACATTATGACTAATGTGTATAATCAAATAGAAATTGAATAAATTACCATTTTTTTTAGAAATATTAAAAAAATTAAACAAAAATTGTTGACATAATGTTACATACCTGCTTTGACCTTTTGGATTCGACACTTCTTCTACGAGACCTGGCCCTATCTTTCTCATCGTCATCTAAACTCGAAGTGTCAAAAGACCGCTTTTGATGTTTATTTCTCCTGTCTTTTGACCTTCGGTTCTCTTCCAAACCGTGGGAACCTGACCGATCGCTCTCTGTATCGTCTGATTTTCGTCTCTCTTTGCCCTTTCTGCTTTCAGGTCCTCTGTCTCTATTTCTTCTATCTTTCCTCATCTCCTTGTCTCTTCTCTCCTTGTCCTTAGCCTGCAAAAAGGTACAGTTTGTTTTGTGAACTGCAAGTTAAGTTTCAGTGCTAAAAATGATCTAAATTTGCACTAGAGAAAACTGTGAATCTTAGATGAAGTTACTAATTTTCTGAAAGTTTTACTCCAATATGAATTCTAGAGAATCGATCATAGCTTTTAACATTACAGACCATAATATTATTACAGCTTGATAATAATAATGACAGAAATATTTAAATGCAGTAAAATTATGAACAACAATTCAAGACATAAGCGAGAAAGATTTGCTTACATTTTGTTCTTTTCGCCTGCGCTCCTTCTCTTTCGCCTTTTCTTTAAGTTCATTGATCACCTTATTAAATATTTCCAAGAAAAAGCTCTCTTCAGCAGTAAACCTGTTCGATACCATAATTAAACGAACCGCTAAAAGAGACACTTAAAAGAGAAATTTTAGGCTACGGCAAATTAAATAGCAAATAAAACTGTTACCTCTTTTCAACAAGTGACTTGAAGTCCTCCCACTTGGAAGATGGTGATATGTCCTGTTAATTTACACAAGTGAAAAAAAATTAGTATTAATAATAATTAATCACAGAATAAAGTTCATAAGTGAAGCATCTTTTCAATTAAATAGATGAAAGATACCTTTGAAACGAAAAGGAACTTATAAACGTCTTCAGTTAGACGCTTTAGTTTCTTAGCTTCCTTTTCCTCTTTCTCCTTTTCAGTTTTGATTAAATCATCAAATACCAGCTGCAATTTGTTGAATTACATATCAGATTTTCAAACATCAACAAAATGAGGAGCACCGCAAAAAAAAAATCGTGTTTGTAGGCTTTTCAAAAAAATATCAGAAAACAATTTTAAAAAGTTTCTCTCTCCTTCAGACATGATCGCTTTTGGTGTCCCGTATCTCATTTTATTTAGCAAAAAAATAATTTAATGTAAGAAAATTCAAAATCAAAACAATATGCACATTTAAAGCACCAGAAAAGCATAAGTACAGTGCTATAATCCCACAATTTTCCAATTTACGAAACAGATAAGAATTACTTAATAGAAAATAATGATAGCAAAACACTAATCACATTATCTTGGATGCAAATTTTGCTTAGAAGCATATAAATTTCCCGACGACATACATAGGAATGATTTATAAATAAAATAAATACCTTCAAGTTTATATCTGATACCGATTTTGATTTAAGCTCTTTGGAAAGAGCACCCTTGAAGTCTTCAATAGTCCAAGATGATGACAAGAATATCTGAAATTCCACAAAATCTGTAAACTGTTCGAATAAACGAGTTCAGAAAATGTTAAAGAGAAAATCAGTACCTTTTCAGCCTTCATAGCTGCTTCTATGTGCTCTCTATCCTCCGAATACTAAAATTCAATATAAAATAAATAATTAAAAAGGAGGAAACATAAATGAATATATACATATATATATATATATGATCAACAACCTGTTTTTCAAGATCATCGACAACATCTTGAAAGAGATCTTTTGCTGTAGAGCCTGTGGTGTTAGAACACACAGCCAGATATGCAGGAGCATCTTTAACCTAAAATCATGTCAAAGTTGGAAATTTTAAAAACAAATATATATGTGTGTGTATATATATATATATATGGTTGGAAAAAATAATAATAATAATAAACTAAATAAAAAAATAACAACCTTCATGCAATACTCTCGCCAATGAGTGTTTGCAGTAAGAGCGCCGGTAGCAACATGCTCCTCCATCAGCTTTCGGAATTCGTCTCGATTTTTGCGCTCTGCTTTCCTCTGTTCTTCCTATTGCATTAATTGTGCATTAGTTGTGCAGTTTTTGATTGGCATAGATAATTGAATAACTTAGTAACTTACCATTCGCAATTTTCTAAGCTCCTCTTCTTCCTTCTCTAAATCGCGTATGTATTCCTGAAATAAAAATATTATACGGCATTCTTACGACAATTTTTATGCTACATATATTTTGATTCACAATTCTATAGAAATATATATATATATATATAAAAAAAAAGGGAAAAAAATGTTACTTGGAAGATTTCAAGGCGATCTATCTTCTCGAGGCGTAAGCATCTCTCATCATCTTCCAAGCGATCTTGAACTCTTCGCCACTGGCTACTCGCCTGAATAAAATAATGTTTAAAGAACAAACGGTATGGTATTTTTTCCTACAATATTGGACGATTCAAAGAAACGTAAACAAAGAAAGAGAGTTTATAGCATTCAGCACCCCAGCATTTACTATAACTGTTACGAAAAATCCTCGTGTTATAAGGGGGAGTTTAGGGGGAGTTGTGTGCTAAAAAAGTGCATTATATGGGGGCTTTGCTAAGATTAATAACACGGGGATTTTTTAACAATTCAATATAAGACAGGGGTACTAAATGCAATAAACTCGAAAAGAAAAATACCCTGACAAAGTCACAAGATTTTAGAAACTCCAAATATTCAGCTTTATGAAGTTTCTTCTCCTCCAAAGCCTTTGCTCGTTCCTATTCAAAATAAAACGATATATAAGCAAGGAAAATATTTCAATAGAGAATAATAGACAAGCTAAAAGGGAAGTAAAAAAACATTACCTTTTGCTTAAGCTCCTCTAAATGGTCATCAAAGAGGTCTTCACGATCTTTAACTCGATCGATAGCTTGAAAGCGTTCGTCCTTTTCAAACATAGATATCGCTTTGCTGCAACAGTAATAAGATCATACAAAAAAGACAAAATAAATAAATAAATAAATAAATAAATAAATAAATGAGGCAGACAAAACATTCATTGCAAGACAAATACAAACCTCCATCTTGTCGTATATGTCAAATCTTTACATTCCTGGGAACAATTATAGACCAGCAAATTTTGAGTAATAAATCATTAAAATACGATGTTTGGAATTATAAAATAATAGCAAAAAATAAAAAACTTACTTGTAACATTGTTTTGAAATCCTCTTTTGCTTTCTTCTGTCTAGCCCGTCTCTCTTCAGCTTCTTGTTTCTTTTTCTGCCCCACACACTGAAACACACACATCACACACACAATCAACCACCAAAAATTCCAACTTTAGGTAATTATTTGACAAGAAAATACAACCGAGTTTATCTCATTTATCAACCCCTTTGTTATATTGAATTGTTAAAAATACTATCACAAAACCCCTTATATTGCACTTCTTTAGCACTCAACCCCCTTTAAATAGAGCATTTTTAGGGAACAGTTTGCGGGGGAAAAAATGAATCATAGGGGGGGTTTCGGTAATAAAATAACACGGGGAGTTTTTTTTTAGCAATTAGAGAAAACACAGGAATGCTGAATGCAATAAATGGAAATTTACCTCGTTGAAAGTTTGTTTTCGCTCTCCCAGAGTCCTTAGTGCACCGTATCTCCGATCTTTTATAATCAGTCTCATAGCCTGCTTACATTCATTATATTATATTATATTGTATTATATATATATATATATATATATATATATATATATATATATATATATATAGATAGATATCCACTAATCATTAGATATTTAGAGAAGAAACAACAGACCTGATCCCAGCTCCAATCGGACCCCACATTTGATGCTTCCAGTAGAGCTTTGAAAGCATTCTTCGCCTCCTAATGCCAAAAAAAAAAAAGAAAAAAAGAAAAAAAAAACAGAAAACAGAGTAAGTTGATGATCGAGCAAAGTTCACATAGGATTAGTTAAGGTTCATTGCATTTAGACCCCTCCATTTACTCTAATTGTTATAAAAAAAATGAAAAATAAAAAAAAGAGCTCCCCGCGTTATTTTAATAGCAAAAAACCCCTTATGATGCAATTTTTTTAGCAAGCTACCCCTAAAAAAATCACAATTTAGGAGGTTATGTGCTAAAAAGATGCATCATAGGGGGTGCTAATTGCGATAAACTCAGATCATAAATACCTCTTTAGTCTCGTATACTAAAGGTCCATCATCTAGTTTCTGCTCTTCCGGCAAATTACTGTCCCCACTTCCGGAAACTTCCGCACTACGATTATCTTCCTGCAAATAAACAAAGGAATAATTCATTTACTGCTAAATCACCATCACTAAGTGCAAAAAAATAAAAAATTAGCCACATAATTACATCTACATTTTCTGTAGAAATTTTCACGACAGCAGCTTCGTGAGGCGAAGCATCGGAAATTCTCCTGAAAAATCATTAAAAAAGAAATCCATGATTATTACCAAATCATAAAACTGCATTCCCAAAAAAAATTAATTACGGGAACATGTGTGTTACATTGGCGTAGTCGTAATTTCGAGTGGACTTTGTAATCCAGTTGAATCCGATTTTAAATTAGCAAACTCATGTGTGCTGGATGCTCCGGAAGCTTCTGGAAGGTCCGGCTCAACGGCAGGTGTGACTGAAACTGGGCTCGGCACAATTACATTTTCTTGCACCAATGAAGATAAATTATTTACTTCGGGAGTTGATGAAACAGCATATGAATTTACTACATCTGTTGATGTTCCTTCACTAGGGTTTGCATTCACTCTGTCACGAGCCAACTATACACAAAAAAAAAAAAAAAAAAAAGGTGTCAAAAAAATAAGATTCTTTTTTTTAATCATCAACAAGATTGTTATTTGGATAAATCGGGATAAAAGTACCTGGACTTCATCTGGAATAGCCCATTTAGATGTTTTTGTGGCGTTGTTAAAGTAAAACCTGTAGAACAAAATTTGATATGTAATATTTTTTATAACTGCAATGATGGAAAGTATAAACCGATTGAAAAATGAAAGAAATATTGTAAAATACCTTCTCCCTTCGGGAGTAGTGAATTCCCTCCAGTCAGTTGATGCATCGGCCCTCTGTAAGACATAAAACTGAATTAGAAAACATCATCTAAATGAAATCAGATTACACAATAAACAAGTACGAGGAATCTTTTATTGAACAAATTTCAAAAGGATGTAATTCACCCCCAAAATAACAACAAGTGAAGAGTTGAGTTAGTTTATTAGTTCTTCCATTGGAACGTTTTGTTCACGATGGAATGTGTTCAATCCATGATTATTGAGGCATGTTCTATTCATGTTAGGATATTTTTCTTTTTTATGTCTCAACATGTTTTATTCATGTTAAAATAAAATGATGTATCGTTAAGGAACACCTTATACGAGTACCTTCACATATAAAGAAGAAAAAAATCATAAGCAAGGTACAAACTGTGACCAACCTCAATCGGTGTCATTAATTCGAAAGGCTTGTCCCATGTCGAAACCCTTGTCTTCTTGTTGTAGTAATATCTGCATTTAAACAACAATTGTAATTAGAAAGCGGAATACAAATAGGGAACTCATTGACGATTTTCCAAAATAGCATACGTATCGTACTTTTTTCCACCACGAGATGTGTGCTCTCTCCAATACGATGAAGCCGGTTCGGCTAGGTCAAGCAGAGTATTTTTCCCCTGAGAATGAAAAAAAAAAAGGATAAATATATTATTGTAATATACACCAAATGAGGAAAATTACCAAAAAAAAAGAAAATAATTACAAAAAAAAAAAAAAAAACCCACTGTTGTATTTTGCTCGGAATTCTGCTGCAAAGGCGTGACAGGATTTATGTTCTGTGAAAAAACCCCGAGTGCTGGTTGCATAGGTAAGCCCGACTGTGTATTGTGGGTCCCACTAGAAAACCAGGGTGCAGAAAAATTGGGTGGGGCATCTGTCTGTGACATTGGCAGATGCTGAGCTGTCGAGACAACATTATTTTGAGTTTGTCCACCAGACTGGAAAGAAAAAAGAAAATCTCAGTGTTTGATGAAAATATTAATCTTGCTAGCTAGACCACACCAAAAAAAAATTAAATAAATATATGAAAATTTACGCTGAATGATATATGAGGAATTCCGGGACCAGCAAAAGCAGGCATGAAACTGTTGGGTGTTCCTTGAGGCAGAACATGTCTTTGAAGCGGTGGTGGCTGCAGCGGCGGTGGTGCTTGAGGGTACTGGATTGAATGTCCGATGGGCTGAAACTGCTGAGGACCCATCGGAATAAATGACGGCGGTGGTGGTGGCGGAGCTAGTGGTCGAAACTGTAATAAAAAGAATGACTTAAAAGTGTTAGTAGCTATAACTTTCAAGAACCTTGTTTGGAACAAAAAAAATAATTTTTAAAAAAAGACAGAAAAAACAGGGGAATCTTACTTGTATCGGCATGGGAAGAAGCGAATTTGGAGGTGGGCCCACATGAGCAACTAAACGAGGCTGAACAGAAAGAAAAAGTAGCCACATCAAAACATGTTTCATGCTATAAACAGAAGCAAAAACTAGAGGCAACCTATTCAACCATGCCATGATACTAAAAACATCATTAAAATTAATTGTTTATAAGAAGAATTTATGAGATAAATATATCATGAACGAACACGTGCACAAGGCATAATTAATTCTAAAAAATTACACGTGGCTAGAATAATTATACCAGTTTACTTCACTTATAACATTACCTAATATAGTGATATGCACGAACATCGAAATATGTTCACGAGTATGTATTTCAGGACACATGGAATTGCTTGTCTGAGAAGGCTTATTATCACAAATGCTCACATAGACACACGTTAGCGAGATTATTGTTTCCCATGTCAGCATGCCAAACACAAACCATAAAACTCTTAGCACCACGAGCTCTCATTAAAACTTTTGATAATTCAATAAGCATGGGATACACATGTTACTCTTTGCCGTTTTTGTCTTACATTCTACTTATGAAATACTAACATCAACCCAAGATTTACGAACATAATTTTTGGATAATATATGAAGTCAATGTTTTAAATTAAAATATGTAAAATAAAAGATACCAGGATTTATTACCTGCATGCCTGTAGACTGGGGGTTGTTGGCCATTTCAGCAAATGACTAATTTCTGAAACAACTGAGGAAAAAAAAAAACACTAAATGTTAGTTAATTATTTAAAAGAAAAAAGGGTCATAAAACACTTGCAGTAAACAAACAAGCTAACTCATAAAAAAATGACGTGGTAAAATACACAAGGAAAACGGCACATAATGCAGTGATGAAATTTGGCAAGTTACCAGTTGTTCGACTTTGCGAAAAATAATAAATGTTATTTAACACGTGATCATTAGTTTAGTTGTACTAAATACTAACGACCACGACAAACAAAAAGATCTGCGTATATTCCAAGATTACAGATTAAATCAATGCGGACAAACAACAACAACAAATCGAAAAAAGTGATAAGAGTCGTAAATCGTCAAGGCAAAAGCGATAAACAGATACAGAGCCATGATAACAGTTGAATCGATGTACCCTAAAACTCAAAGAGAAAGAACGAATTCCGGCTTTTTTAAGTGAGAAAAGAATAGATCCAACCAAGATATATTTGAGGTGCTTCTTTTTCATTAAAACAAAACGAATCTGCATTTCATAAAGTTCTATTGAGATCATCAAGTTTATTAGAGATCGTTTGCATTCAAGATGGTTTATGAAAATCTGGAATTCAAACGAGATCAACAACAATAGAATAAACCGCGAATTCGAATGAAAACCCTAAAAAAAATTGAAACAATAAATGTTTTTTTTCTGCAGCAGCTTTTAACACCCCCACCCCACTCCACCCCACCCCACCCACCCACCTCCCAAAAAAAAAAAGTTTCTAAAAATTCTCAAATCCAATTTCAAACCTCAATCAAACAAGAGTTCAATCAGAAAACCACGAATTCAACTAATCATCAACCCCAATTGTAAAATCAAAAATCCCCCAGTTTCTGTACAATCAAAAAACTGATTAAAAAAACAAATAAACAAACAAGTAAAACTCCTCATTTCTCACATGCTCATTCACCATTCAAACAAATTCAGAAAAATGAAAAAGCAAAACACAAATTGAATTACATTTGAATACAGAAGAACAACACAAAAACGGCACCGTATAGCCAATTCAGCAACAGGCTGTATAAACACACACAACAATTAATGGAATTGAGGCGGTAATACAAAGGGGGGCTGAAACTGATGAGTAGGAGTGATTCTGAATTTCTAAGGGGGGGGGGCCGTATATATATAGCATGGGGGGCGGGGGGCGGGGGGTGGGTTTTACCGGGGGCGGATTTTGGTGAGACGAACTGGAATACGTTGGACTGTATTTATGTACTTCCCGACAAAAAATA